TAAAGAGATACGATATCGCTTTCATACCCATTAACACAGGTTGGTGATTTCTCTTTCGCAGCAGATTTTGTTCAGCTTCTCCAGAATCCACTAGACACTGGTCTCGGCTTATTCATAGAGGCGTGGGGCTGAACTCATTTCTCGTGATTACTAGTCGTTTTCAGCATCGGAGAGCTAACAGTGATGCTGAATCCGATCTCTCCTCTTTGTTAGCAATTCTGTTCATGAGATTCTCAAGCAAAAATTCATGAATGAATAGCCCATGAGATTTTTTTCTACAAAATATTTGGATTAGAGGGGATAATTTTACAAGTTCGAGGAAATATTGTGCTAAACATTAGAACTATCACGGCAAAATAGATTTATCGTTCTGTATCAAGATAAAATACGGCTTCAATAAAGAAGCTTACCACGATAATTCTAATGTTTATCGAGATAATATAACGCATTGCGTTAGTGCTAATTTGCATCGTGATCAAACTTATAATCTCGAGAACATTGCAAATATATTTTATCTCAATAAAGCTTGATAAATTTATTCAAGGGGAGTTCCCAGCTGTCAAATCGCCTTTTCCATTAAATCTAGTTGGCTATAGGTATTTGACCGCGTTGATTCCGAACATCACCATGCCAGCTGCTCTTAGACCTTCAGACACTCGTTTTCTGGATACCAGTTTTTCAGAAATTCTAACAGATAACCAAAACCTTTCTTAATGAAACATGCTTGTAGCCTGCAAATTTCAGATCAAAATAAGACATCTCTAGCTCTACACGACCTATCTTTTCAAAGTTATAGAATTTACAAGAAAAGCCCCAAATGTTCATTGTCAGCTCAAAGCTATAGAAATCAGGAAAAAATAAAGTTAGGGCTCTTCTTGTACACATAGCGTTTCGTCTTTCATTGTTTTCTCCAAGGAACTCTCACTATCACGAAATCATTGCTTCTATCAGCCGTTGTACATGTGATCAGCGGTCCTTATTCTCTACTGCGAAAAGGACGTTCTACATGTCTTTTGTTCTGACTGTCTCGTTCCTCTCATGACTTCTGAACTCTATAGAGATTGATTTCTAGAGAATCGCTTTAATACAAAAACCCGAACAAAAAATTTTTACGCCATTAAATAGGTCATGAGTCAAAGTATGAGTCAAAATGTTTGTGTAGAAATTAGCTTTCATTGGAATGTTCAATGATAAATCGTATATTATCTAATATGCCACGATCATAGGAATATACCAGTACTGTGATCGCTCTTGTTGATGTGGGTATTCTGTTTGTCCGTTCTACGTACTCTATTGATGTGAAACTGTCCTCATATTCGTGGCTCACTAAAAATAAGAACAGGGCAGTTATAGATGGATAACAAACAGTGGCACAAGCTTCATTTACACACCTGTGTCCACTCTCAATGATTTGTCCATGATATTTGCCAAAAAATATATAGAAATCTCTGGTTTGGCATCCATGTCTGCTGCCAATCTATATTCGGCTCTATTAAAATCAATTAGTTGTAAATAAATAGTAATATTTAGATCTTGATACATGGCAAAGGGTTCTCCATAATCGCTGCCACGTAGCCAAAAACAACAACCCTCACTGTTAACACTGACTGCGACACATTCGACCACTTTTGCCGTTCCTGACCATCCACTAGGTGGTTTAGTGTTTAAAATGTTTGTGCCATTTGAACAGATTTCGCTTTCAGCATCACCATTTGTAACTAAATTACTATAGTCAAGGTAATAAAAGTCCTCAGTCTGATAATCCTCAACGCGAGTACCATTCGACAATATAGAAAACTCAACACGAAATGTTTTTGGAATAACTGCTCCCGTAAAATTCACATTTTCGAACACTGTCGTTAAAGTATAGGCATTTTGAAAACTTGTATAATCTAACTGACAATCGATGAATTTCGCCCTATGTAAATATGTATCAGTAAAATTTGCATTGGT